AATAAATATTATTTTTATTATAATAATTTTACCACCTGAATTACTTAATAAAAAATATAGATTCTATGGAATAGAAATTGATTCCTTTTTATTTGGATGTGTTCTCTATTAATTATATTATAAAGAGCCTTTAGATTGTTAAGAAAATTCATTAGACATACAATTTCGTAATTTAAATATGGAATTTTCTTCTATTTCTTAATCTATTATTAAAGATCTTTTAATTGGAACACTATAATTTAAATTATCTAAAAGAATTCATTTCAAAGATATAGCAAAACTTTTTGGATGTCATTAAGATATGATTAATTTTTATTCTTCTTCTAAAAAATACAGATATAGATAAAATATTATTGATCAAAAAATCTTCTTTAGAGAAGCTAGATAAAATTCCACTTATATTATTACTGACACTGCTTTAATGTAATCCTTAATCTTTTCACCATATTAATCATAAGATAATATACAATTCTAGCCTCAAGAACCTTTAAGGTAAAGTATTAAAATAAGAATTGTTGAAAACACTTATATGAGGAATTTAAAAAGTTTAGAAATTAGTAAATTTTAATTTTTTTAAATGATCTTAAGATATTAAAAGAATTTGATATAAGTGTAGCTCCAGAAATCTTTTTAGTATTGTAGCACTTAATTTTGGTTAAATTTACTTTAATATGCATTTAAGAAAACAATTAGAAGATCTCTACAAATGAAGAAGAAATTAAAGATTGGAGAATATTTAGAGATTTAGCATAAAAGGAAATTGCAAAAGATATCTAATAATTAAAAGATAAAAATGAAATTTTTCTAGTCTCTTATAATAGAGAGGCTGAATTAATTTAAGCAGAATAACATATTTAAAATAATAAATAAGAAAATTATTAATTCTTAATTTTATAATTAGCTAAAATTAAATAATTTAATTATTCATTAAGTGCTGAAGAAGATCGAAAGAAATTTCTTGATGGGTATAGAACTTAATTAATGAAAATGAAAATTTAGATTTTATAACAACTTTCCTTAAGACTTTTTAACGCAGATCAAGTTTATTGTTGTGTGCATTTGCAGATATATTTTTAAACCTTAATTGGAATGTCATAAAAAATTTTTGAAACATTGAAAATAACAATGCTCAGCAAATACGAATAATTTGAAGAATCCCTAAAATCCTCCGAATTCTAACAATCAGAATGGTTCAAAGACACTATCATTTATTTAATGAATCATAGACTAAACAAATAATATCAATTTTTTTTGATTCAATTATTATGAAACAATAAAAATTTTATTTAATTTATAAACAAGCTTATGAAAGAATAAATATTCTCTATTTAAAATAAGAGAGGCCTGTTAACACTAAGATAATTATATATTTGTTCATCTGAATCTACCTTGTCTATTACCTATTTTTTTTAATTTTTTGACTTGTATTGACAATTAACAATTTTCACAATACTATGTTTTTATTTGACTACATTAAAAAAATCATATTTAAAGGTTTTTTCACATCGTCAAATTATTATTATAATTAACTAAAAATTAAAAAAAAGACTTTAAAACAGCCTATTTTTATTATTTTTACTATCTTAATATTTAAAAATAAAATTAAATATATTAGAAGAAATATAATTAAATTATGAGTAATAAATTTAATAGATTTAATAAAAATAATTTAATTAATTATCATTCTTATAATTTCATTAAGTACGATTATCAGATATTTAATTTTGATTATTAAGTGGCATAATAATTTTTGGATCTCCTTATAATGTTAATTGAAATGTTTAGCATTTAGAAGTGGAGGTGGCTCCTAAGCATGAAGAGATTACTAGTTTGATAGACCTTCTTAGTCATTAGACTATTTATCTGGATTGCTAGCTATAACTTATTTGATTATTAAATCATTTTCATTAATTTAATCTCTTTTTTGATTTATTTATTATTCATCATGATAATGCAAATCAGAGGTATGACTATTATTAGGACAATGATTATGTTTTTCATATTGTTAATCACAATCATCATCATCATCATCAGAACTTTCATTTAATTATGGTTCTGAATCTTCAACTATTACTTAATTATATATCTATTTATCTTTTAAATCATCTAAATCTTTTGGTTTTGCGAATTATTAAACTTAATGTTTTTTATCTTATTCATTTCCAGGAGTAGTAGGTTTACAAGTAAATAAACTTGAAATTTATGTAATTTATTGTTATGTTTATTAATTACCTTTCTTTTCTTCATCTTATTTATTATGAAAAAAGCTTTCATTTGATTTTTTTGAATCTCCAGTTTTTTATGATAATTGTGATTTTAAATCAAAATGTTTTGAGGTTGATAACAATTAACCATAACCAGTAGAACTTTCATTTTGAATCTATTTTTATTATATTTAATCTTTGGAATCCTTTTTGGATTTTATGTATTCATAAGTAGATATATTTTTATATCTAATAATTAGATAATTATTAATTACTTGAAGTATAAATGCATACATAGTAAATATGTATGCATATATATATAGGAGGATCTATTGCAATACAAATATAAACTATAATCTAAAAATTAGTTTGCATATAAAATAATTTGAGATCCTAGTCTAATATAAATATTTTAAGTGCCACTAAAGAGATTACTAATATAAAAAAATAAGAATAATTCTGATCTCCAACACAATTATTTAACCAAATGCAATGATGATCAAATTTTGATACACATCTATATTTTATTATTTTTATACTTATTGCAATTCCAACAATGTTTAGTTTTATTTTATAAATGTGCTTAACATACTAAACAATATTATTTAATATGAGTCTTATATTCTTTCCTTAAATATTTATTATTCAATTTACCCTTGCAGTTTTGATAATTTCTCTTCTTTTACTACTGAATCTGTTGGATCAATTAATGTTGTTCTAAGATAAAAATAAACTATGCAAGTAGCTAATATTGTAAGCATTATCGATTAGAGTTACTGAATTAAAATTTTTAATACCTTCATTCCAGTATCTTCAAATTCAAATGCAAATATATATGCTATTACAAAATCAAAAACACTGTATATCCAACTAATAGACTAATGACAATTCACTCCATTAACCAATCCATTCCTACGAACTGCTTTTAGACGCCCTTTTTTTATATCAACGTCCATTATTAATTTTTTATATATTTATATCAATTCATTATTCAAGGATTACTTAAATCTCTTTATGATTATTCTCCAATACTTTAGCTTTTCTCAATTTATCTATATTCCTAAATATATTCATGTTATAAACAATCTCTTTAAATCTAAACTACTATTTAGATATTATATAATCCATATTATCTATAGATTATAAATTATATGGATATAAAATGAAGTATCATTTTGATCAAACATTACATTTATTTGAACTATTCTAATATGTTA